TGGCAGCGCTCTGCGTCTGCAAGGCACAGCTCCTCCTTGGCACTCGATGCTTCTGGACACGGTAAACTTTCATCTGTGAAAGTTAAAGAAGTGAGATTCAGGCACAACTGGAAGAATTCCTACATCTTAAAATGAAAACATTTTTTGTACAAAGCAATTTTCTCCCTACTCCTCTCTGGGATGGTATCCCTCTTCTCAGAACCCCAAAGGCACCCTGAGGGCACAGTGGGTCCAAGTTGGGCTGCTAACTTCAAGGTCAGCACTTCGAAACCACCAGCAGCTCCACTGGAGAAAATCAAGGCTCAGAAACTCACAGAGGCCATTCTACCCTGTCCTATAGAGCAGGTAATCTTGAGTGGTAACTGAATCAATGGCAGCAAGTTTGGCTTTCTTTGATGGTGGTGGTGGTGTGTGGGGGGGATGACAGAGTGATTGTGAAAGGGATCGTGGGAGGGAAAGAGGTTAAAAAAAAGAGAAGGAGCGGGCGGAAGGAAGGGAGGGAGACAGATTGAGAGAGAGAGAGACTAAACCTGCCAGACCTTTTGTATTCAATCAGCTCTGCTTTAACTGACAAGCCCCAAGCCAAACCTTCCAAGTCTTCACCGAACACACCCACTCTAAAGTTAAAGGAAGTGTCTATCATTAGAAAGATAATTATACAAATGTCAAAGAGAACATGTGGTAACCTATACTTTACATTTTAAAGGGAAGCCACGTCATCCCTGCAACTACTATCTTTGCAGCCCTCTTGAATGGCCTGTTTTCTATCCTATATTCCTCCTAACGCAGAACTTGAAGGTAAGTGTCCTGCATGCCTCTAGTTCCACTTTAAGATAACTGTCTGTCACCCCTCCCTAAATAATCCAGGATTGCATATCTTTACATCAGACAATACCCTTCACTCTGCCAATTCATTGCAGTCATCGACAGACACCCATGCACTGGATGGAAGCCGACTGCTGCATTGCTTTTCCATGGAGGAGCTGGTGCACTTGAACCATTAAAATGAACAGCAGATCCACTTATCTACAGATGGACTTTGGGTCTCTCCTACATGTCCCACCCCCATTCACCTTGGGTATGGTTTTATTCTGGGTCTTAAATGCCTGATACCTGATCCCATTGACACCTCGTGATCACACAGGCTGGTGTGCTTCTTTCTTTTGGGCTTTGTTGCTTCTCAGCTAGATGGCCACTTGTTTATCTTCAAGCCTTTAAGACCCCTATCTTTTGATAGCCGGGCACCATCAGCATTCTTCACCACATTTGCTTATGCATTTTGTCTCCTCCCCTCACAGAGGGGTCACAGGGAAGAGATGAGCCAGTCAGGTTATAGCACCAATGAAACACACAACTTTCCTCTAGTTCTTTGGTGCTTCCTTCACCCCACTATCATGACCTCAATTCTACCTTACAAATCGGCTTAGATCAGAGCAAGCACACTGCTACAGATAAGAGCCCACAACACAAGGAATCCAGTATAGATAAACCCCTCAGGGCCAACAAGGAGGATTAGGGGAGGGTGGGGGGAGAAAGGGGGAATTGATCACAGGGATCAACCTAGAACCTCCTCTCAGGGGGACAAATAACAGAAAATTGGGTGAGGTGCGACGTAAGAATATGTAAGATATGGGAAAATAATCTATAATTTATCAAAGGTTCATGAGGGAGGGCAGGCAGGGGAGGGAGGGGGAAGAAACAGGGAGCTGATATCAGGGGCTCAAGTGGGAAGAGAATGCTTTGAAAATGATGGCGGCCTATGGGCACATGTGCTTGACACACTGGATGAATGTATGGATTGTGATAAGAGATGTAAGAGCCCCCAATAAAAGTTTGTTGTTGTTTTTTTAAAAAGATCAGCAGTTGATTAAAAAAAAAAAAGTTGAATTGACAAAAAAAAAAAAAAATCACCTATTAAGATTTTCCACACTGAAGAAGCACACCAGCCCGTGTGACCACGAGCTGATGAAGGGATCAGGTATCAAGCATCAAAGAATAAAAAATCATATAATTGTAAATGAGGGTGAGTGCAGAGTGGAGATTCAAAGCCAATCATTAGGCAACTGGACACCCCCTCTGAAGGGTTGTGGGGAGGAGATGAGCCAGTCAGGGTGCAGGGTAGCAATGATGAAACATAAAATTTTCCTCTAGTTCTTAAATGCTTCCCCCCCCCCCCACTATCATGATCCCAATTCTACCTTACAAATTTGGCTAGACCAGAGGATGTACATTGGTACAGATAGCAACTGGAAACACAGGGAATCCAGGACAGATGACCCCTTCAGGACCAGTGGTGAGAATGGTGATGCTTGGAGGGTGGAGGCGGAAAAAAAAAAAAAAAGAGCAGCAGATCATTTTAGTCCCTGAGATCGCAGAGCGTATTATCTTACATGAACGAAAGCAGAAGTCCTGACCAGGGTCTTTCTTTCTTATATGACCTGCTTACTCCTGCCTCGGGCCTTTGGCATTATTGTAACTTCCACTATTCACCTTGCTTGCTCCCTCAACTCCTTGTCTGTGTTGTTACTCTTCAGCTAACCGGTTCTCCATGAGGGCAGATGTGACCCCTCTGTAAGCCATCTCCAACCTGTGCTCACCTCTGGGACTTCTTTATCTCAGGTCCCTCTTTTACTGTTCTCTACAGTACAGATCATCATCTGACGTAAGAAAAACTATTAATTTGTTTAGTGTTTTTCTCCTTATTCCCTTCCCTTCTCCTTCCCACCCGTGCCTAAATTAATCCTCAGGAACAAAGGGGTTGTCTTATTTTTTTTTTTCCTCTTTCACCATTACCTCACTTCCTAGAAAAAGCCCTGGCACAACAAATGTGTCAACAAATATTATTTTAATGAGTAAATAAACAACATAAAACTAATTTTAAAATGTTTTAAGTTTGTAGAATCCATATTTCTTATATTGTTATTCATTATAAAAGGTAGGCAATTGGTTATGAAAATGAATTATGAATGCATCCATAATCGGGTTTCTCATAATAGAAACTTACAAATGATGAATATGCAAATCCTCTTGAATACAAAATCCAGTGAAAATAAGACTGCATATGCAATTAAGGGAATGCTGGCAATAAATGAAGCTACAATTGCACCATAACAAGTACCACAAAACAATAAAAATTATAATTTCTGTGAATTCGTAAAATAGCTACAAATCTACTCATTAATCAAAATAAACATTGTAGTAATATAACAACATTGGGGAACAGTTTGGGGACCGAGGCAGTAAATCTTGTGTGTGTGTGTCCGTGTTTATCTCTATCTGTGGATATCTGTGATGTTCCTTTTCATTTTCTTAGTTATTTGTTTATTGACTCTTTTATGCTTCCTTTCCCCCTCCCGCTGGCATCCCGTAACCTATAGTCTGCTTCTTTGATATGAAACCATTTCTCCTGGTCTTTTCATTTATAATAATGGTCTCAACTTTGCTGAGTCTGTCTTCCAAATCCACGCATGTAATGAAGTGCTGCATCGGTTTTTCGTTTTTTAGGAGTGCGCCTTACTCTGTCGTATGTATGCACCAGATTCCCCCACAGACAGGTGTTTGCGTTGCTTCGTGTTTTTCTTAATTAAGGTTTTCAGCTTTCTATAGATTTTAGCTATTATCTGATGTACTGCTACCAACTCCCCTCCCCCCTATAATCTGTGGGTTTTTCTTTTGAATGAAATCTTTGACATACAAAATTTTATATTTTTAGGAGGTCCTAATCCTTCATTTTGTCTTTTGTAGCATGTCTGTTTTTCACTGTTTAGTAGTGTGATTATGCCTTGGATTACGGCCATTAAGTTGCTACTTAATTTTACATTGATGGTCTGTATAATTTTAGGGTTCAAATTCACATCATTAATCCACCTTGTGTTCATTTTTTGTATGGGATAGGGTATTTATGTGCAGATGAAGGTCCAATTCCTCTCTCTACCATTATTGAAAAGACTATCTCTTCCCCATTTCATGAGTTTTATTCAACATCAAGCATCTGTAGGTGCTTGGTTTTATTTCTGCTTGATGACCATGGGTGGATGGAATAGGTGTGTTGTGGTACTGCACTGTTGTTTTGTGTGGTGGTGCAATGTTTAAGTGCTCTACTGATAGCCACAAGGTCCCTGGTTCAATCTTACCAGCACCTCTGTGGGAGAAAGGACTCAAGTATTCTACTGTCAAAGCAATTCCAGCTTAGGAACCCTATGGGACAGTTCTACTATTGTCATTTAGGGTCACTATGAACCAGAATTGGCTGACTGACACACAGCAACCACAATGCCAAATGAACCTGAGCACTTTTTTCATGTGTTTATTTGTCATCTATATATATTTATTGGTAATATGTTAGTATTGCATTCCTTATTTTTAATTTCCATACAGTAAAATACACATGTTTTGTTAATCATGCACATGCATCTACATTGTAATGATGCATAGAATTGTGTAACAAGACCCAAAATCAAGGCAGAGAAGAATTTCAACCTGAGCAACTATTGATCTATTTTCTATGCCTATGTTTTTCCTTTTCCAAAATACCATTTAAATGGAATTATATATGATGCGTAGCATATGATGAATTATATATGATGCAACATGCATAATACATGTTGGATGCGTTCCTATTGCTACCCGTGACTTGGGTCATCCTATGACTGGAAAGAAGACAGATGGCACACTACGGGGAGGTCGCACAATTTAGTCACACGTTCCTGGTTGGCATAAAATTGGGTGGTTTCAAGGTTCTGTTTATAAAAGAGGTTTGGTGTGAATGAAAACTTTATTTCTGAAAATACCTAGGATCAGAAGAAAAAAACCAAATCTGTCTTAGAATAAATGTAGCCAGAACGCTCCTCAGAAGAAAGGATGGCAAGACTTCGTCTCACAGAGTTAAGACAGGTCACGAGAAGGGATCCGTCCCTAGAAATGAACATCATTATTAGCAAGTTAAGGGTTAGAAAAACAGAGAAGGCTCTTCCTCGGGTTGAATTGACATGATGATGGCCGCAGTGGCCTCAAACAGCGTGATTGTGAGGACGGCAGGGGACCCCCGAGTACTGTGTGCTGCTTTGCAGAAGG